ATTCGTCTCTACTCAGAAATGGATTTTTGGGTTTCCAACCAGCGTTAACTAGGCAGTATCCTGTTAAGTTAGAACAAATAAAAATAAGTATTTATGGGAGTTACTAAAGAATCACACAGAGAGCCTAACTGCAAAACATTGTCTGTTTGGTCTAAACTTATTCACTGTTTAAGAATTACATACTGTTTAAACATTTTGCCGAATCAGGACAAGCTGAACGGAATGTCACTAGTACAAATCCCTGGGGCTAAATATAATCCCTGGGCATCACTAAAAATAGGGTTCAAGTGAAACATTTAAGCAGGTCAGGAAATTATTATCTTTTAGGAGCATTTGGCACGGCTCCTAGAATCTGTTTAAACGTTGAAGTTAGTTCAAAAAGAAACAACAAAAAAAAGCTTTCCCCTCTCCATTGTCCTTATGTTGTACGCCACTGAATGTAAACAATTAATTTTGCGGTACCGTCGGAGTTCGACGATGAGGGTGAACACGTTATTCCCTGAAAGGCTTGAAGATTTCGAGGCGCAAAGCGCAGAAGCTTGTAAAACTTAAGGAACGTCAAACAAAACCGTCTTTCTACAGACTCTAAAAATATTGACGTTTTTCTTGCCCGACAGTTAGAGGAGCGTTTTGAAAACAGTGTAAATTCTTTCCTAGGTCTCCCCTACCATTCCAGCTTCCCAAACGCGTTTTTCTAGACTTTTTACTTAAATCAGCAAAAAGCTTGAATGGTTTAAATGGTTGTGAAGATGCTCTAGAATGACGGATCTCTAATTATGTAACTACGGACTACAAATATTTTTTTCTGTCTGGAGCAAATGAGTGCAAGGAAATAAAATTATATGTTCAATAAAAAAAATATCATTTTGTTCGCCATATTCTTGAATTCCTGGAGGTTACTATCAGGACATTTTAAATGACCTGGCCTCCTTCGAAGAGATGAATGCTATGTCAGCTATTTCCACGACGTTTCTGTTTAACTGCAGTCTTCCGTAACTTAGTACCGCGTTTTACACCCCAGTTAGAATTGTTGTTGTTTATTGCCATTATTTATCAAGTGGAACTTCAATTATGGTGTTGTCTAATATTATCTTTTTAGGAGTCAACCTTCTTCTCTCAACTTCCATTTTAATGTTTTCATTTTGGTTGACAGTAAAAACAATTATATTCAGCAGTTGCGTAGGACGTGTGCACGCTCTAGGACCTTCTGACCGCTTCTCGTTAGATAGCCAGCTTTCCGTGTAAAATGCTTTGGCGACGCTGGTCAAAATTTATATCTTCATCCAGTCTGCTCAGCCTTTTATGTTGCGGCTACTGCTAAATTTGCCGGAGCCTATTAGGCAAAGCAAAACGTGTTTCCCCCCCCTGCATTCTCGCAAGATCGCACTGTTCTTGCCCTCGATCGTCTGTTTGCCGGCCCCAGACTAGCGCAGACCAGTCTGCATCCACCCTCCCCCCCGCCCCCTGCTGGGCATGCAAGCCTGCCGTTTGACGCTAAGACGTGATTCGACTGTGCGCGGCAAAGCCTTTTTGCTCTTACCAACTTTCTTTAACCGTCGAACCTTGCCATTTTGTCTCCCAGTAGTGTATGCGCGAGGTTAAAAAGTAGCAAATGCAAATTGCAATC